TACTACTTTTACTAATTTCTTAATTCTTATTTCGGAATTTTCTCTTCAATTTTCCTTCCTATTTCAGTATACCTTTCTGTTACTTAGATTACTTAGATCTGTTATATTTTCTTTATTTTTTGCAAACGGAAGTTTTATGAAATTGATTAATTTTTTCTTCTCCGGCGACTGGACGAACAATTTCAGCTTTTTTTTGAATTATTCTGCGCTTAATTCGATCGATTTTCCATGCTTTTTCAGCTATCACAGCCTTCAGATATGCTTTTCTGCTCCAGTGCTGCTGCTTCTTTATCTGTCCCCCCTCTTCTCCCTTAGACGGTCCCCCTTCTCCTCCAACAACATATTCGGTGTGTTTTTTCATTACAAATTTTCTCCCTCCAGAAGTCGCGGGGGGAGATTTCCCCCTCTACTAGCACGTTCGCAGGCATCATTTCCCGCCACAAGCGCGGGGGAGGGTGGGGGGAAGAAGTGCCTCTCTACCAGTAGCATATTCGGTGTGTTGTTTACCACATATCTTCCCCGCCAAAAAGAAGGGCTGGGGTGAGGGTGGAGAAAGGTACCCCTTCCCACCTACATGCCCCGTTGTTCACCATACATCATTTCCCACCAGAGGAAGGGAAAGGGGGAGATGTACCAGTATGTTCGGTGTGTTGTTTACCATACACACACACACACACACACACACACACACACACATGTACACACACTGACAGGACCGTTGCAATATACGTTTTTCCTGCTTGTTGCAGCGCTGTAGCGCCGGACGGCAAAAACGCATAAAAACAACAGCAGCGAACACACACAGGCAGGGTCCTTACAAGAAGCGTGTTCTGCTAGTGTTACGAAGCACTTAATAACTCCAGTGAAAGTGAGTGCAGAAGAGGAAGTATTACTGTAATAGAGTGTACAGAAACATTGTCCTGGATTGGCTATCCATTCCGAATTAGTCGCGCGCTTATGTATGCAAGCTGGATTTCCAGTGCTCCATCGACCGGAGCCAGTGATGAAGATACGATCTTCATTTTCACTAGTCCCGGTAATGATAAAGTAGCCGTGGTAACAAAACAGTCGCACCGATGTCTGCGAACAGCACTTATCGGCACGGGTAATGACCAGTCACTGGTACTCATCGCTCTGTTCACCGATTTACTCACACGGGATTTTTACTAATTTTTGGAAGTGCTTAAAGCACGATATTTCGGTCCAATTGGGTATGTTTGCCCAACGGGGGAAGTTATGTCGGGTGGGTGAGTTTAAAAGCAATTCATTTTACTCACACTAAATAGCCACACTAAATAGTCGTAGATGGGCAGGAAGCATACCCTTAAAATTCTAGCTTTCTAGGTTCTCAGGTTGCCAAATTATTAAATTTCGCGCCGAAATTTTCGCGTATCCGCTTGTGAGACTTCGGCGTACTGAACAGCTGATTTTGGAATCTTTTAGTTGTACATGAATAGGAGACATCCTGTTAAAATTCCAGCTTTATAACTTTTCCGGTCCTAGAATTGCCATTTTTCTCGCTGCCGAAATAGCCATTTTCTTGCCAAAATTTTCACGCGATAATCACGTATGCCTAGATTCTTTGTTTTTGCTTTTTCCGCTTCCATTTATAAGCTCAGGTTTGGTTTAATTTACTTTTCTTTGAAGTGTTATGTTGTCTGTTTCTCATTGCTGCCATCTATAGTTCCTGTCTTGAATTCCCGACTAGCACACTTGTTCCCCTCCTCTATCCTGCCCTCAATTCCTGGCTCTAGAGCCGCATATGGGCACGCATTACCCACCACACCCAACCACGTCACACCCAACGACGCCTGCAGCTTCTAACCAGTACCCTCCTCTCTATCCTGCCTCCAAAGCAATGGTTGAGAAGTGAGGGGATGGGATGGAAG